AAAAAAAATAAACATAGACATAGTGACAATAAGTGTCTTGACTTATGAAAAAAAAAATCGGACAGTTCGTGAAGTAAAAATAAAATAGAAAAAACTGTGATTTCGATAAAATTCTAAAAACATCCGCGTAATAAATTCTACATTATAAAAGTGTGTTAGTATATTATTTCGTAACTGCCTGCGCTCTGAAATTTAAAGATCTCTGTAAGACCGAGAAAGACTTTGGTAAGATCTTTAAATCATATCAGGTTACGGGCCCAGACTACGAAAATGGAAGGTATAACAGGAAAGCTTTAGATCGGCCTCTTAGATGGAAAAAACTGGGACACCTGGAAGTACAAAGCCTTATGCTTACTATGCACCGTACCGTCGGCCCTAGAAGTAGTTGAAGGATCGTTCCAGGAACCCACTCGTCCACCTACCGGATGCGGCGATGCTGAATTGGCGGCTTATCAACAACAGAAAGATCAGTTTGATAAAGCTGATGCCAGTGCTATCTTAATACTTACCACCAATATGCAAGAAGACACACTTCGAAAAGTTATGCGGTTCACTAAAGTACGTGATGTCTGGTTAGAGCTCCACAGGCTATTCGACGGAACAAATGAGGATAAAACCTACAACCTGTGTATGAGTTTTTCTTCAGCTTTAAGAAGGATCAAGCAGACGACATTGCCACCCACATGTCAAAATTAAAGAACATCTGGACTGAACTGAATCAAGAACTCAAGAAGGACAGTAACCAAGAGCTACCCGAACTGCTACTTGTTTGTAAAATACTGGAAACGCTTGACGATTCATACTTCAGCTTCAGAAGTAGTTGGCTCCTCCTGCCCAAATCCAACCGTACCGTAGAAAGCCTAACCAGTCATCTCAACGCATTTGAAAGGGCCCTGCAAGGTAACAACGCACCTTCGCATCCGATTGATGCCTGGTTTCGAATACGGAGAAGAAGGACAAGAAGCTTAAATGCAACTAGGTATTGGCCATAGAGTACGCAACTGTCAAAAATGGATCCGTGACGGTAGACCTCCTAAGAGCCAAAATCCGACTCAGACAGCAACGCCTTCTACTTCAAAAACCGCTAACTTGTTACTCATGTCTTTAGAAGACAACGAAATCTTCACAGTTTCACGGGACAATGAGAGCTGGTACATTGATAATGGCGCAACAAGCCACGTCACCAACAGAGCTGACATTTTCCAAACCTACGAACATTTCAATCAGAACTACACTGTTACAACGGCCGCTGGTAATAAAGTCCGTGCCAAAGGCAAAGGAACAGTACAGCTCAGAGGATATGTTAACGGGAAACAAATCGACATCAGCCTGCAAGACGTCTGGTACGTTCCGGCCATAAGCAAGAACCTCTTCTCCGTACTCGCACTTCACAACCGAGTCCCGACATAGCACCTTTTCATCCAGGACAACTGAATGCAACGTCATTGTCAACGGAAAAGTGTGCTTAATAGGGAAGAGACAAAAACAAGGTGGCTTATATCGACTGGAAGTAAAACACGTACTGCCAGAAACACCACCCGAAGTATTTGCAAATACAGCAATGATGCAACTGTACCACGAGAGACTCGCTTACCAAAATAAAAGACACGTAAGAGCGACGATCCAACGGGAACTAGGTCTTAACCTGCCGATGGATAAAGAGACCTGTGAAGGCTGCATCTTTGGAAAGGCGCATCGACTTAAATTCGTTACAAGAACCCGAGCTACCGCGTCCGGAGAAATCGTACACGCTGACGTTTGTGGACCGTTTCAACCTAGCTTCTCAAACTATCAGTACTACGTTTTGTTTAAAGACGACTTTACTGGCTACCGTATGGTGTACTTTATGCGCAAGAAGTCCGAGGTCAAAGACAAGTTAGTTTTGATGATCGCTCAAACTAAAACTGTCGGACACACCATAAAATGCCTTTTGAGGAACAACGGCGGCGAATTTCATAATGCGTCCATAAAAAGTGTTTTAGACACTCATGGAATAATACAGCGACTCGTCACCCCGTATACACCGGAACAAAACGGAGTAAGCGAAAGGGATAACAGAACCCTAGTTGAGACAGGCAGATCGATGATGTATGCTCATGTGCCATTACCACAAGTGCTTTGGGCAGAGCTCATTAATACCGCGGCATACATTCTGAACAGAACAGGCCCCACAAGTTCAGATAAGAAATCTCCGTATGAACTTTGGTATGGAAGGAAACCTATTGTTAAACATCTCCGAATAATAGGCTCAACCGCATACGTCCATATCCCAAAGCAGAAGCGTAGAAAACTCGACAAAAAGGCGATAAAAGGTCGACTTACCGGGTACGATGAAGATTGTTACCGTATCTAGGTCACAGCTGGAAAACACTCGACGATCGTCCACTCTCGTGACGTAATCTTCGATGAGAAACCTCTTCCGATCTGTAATAGTGAAATTCCTAAAAGAGAAGTTGAGACGAGAGAATACCCGATTTCCATAACGCCCAACACGAACTTAGAAAGAGAAGTTGCAGCTCCAGAGCAAAATCACGTTCATGAGGGAGATACACCCGAACCAATCTCCAACGACCATGATCATGTTCTCGAGGGAGAAGAATCGGATCAAGTCCTCCACGAAGACCATGACCATGAAGAAGAAACCACAGTTCCAGAAGAATTTTACGACGCTGAACCACCGCCACCCGGCTATAATCTTAGAGATCGCTCACTGATTCGACGTCCTGAGAGACTAAGAGATTACGTCTGTATCACTGAAACATTCCCAAATAATTTCGCAGACGCTATGAAAAGGGACGATCGCGAAGAATGGCAAAGGGCAATGGATAGCGAATTGAAATCCTTCGAACACCAGAACGTTTGGACAACGTGTGCACTGCCAAAGGAAGAAAAGCAATTCCCTGCAAATGGGTTTTACGGATCAAACGAAATCCAGATGGCACGATCGACAAATACAAGGCTCGACTTGTCGTAAAAGGGTACAGACAAAGGAAAGGAGTAGACTATGACCAGACCTTCAGTCCTGTGGCACGCCTGGCTACTGTACGAGCATTACTCAGTGTTAGTACGCAGGAAAACTTACACCTGGTCCAATTCGACGTCTGCACAGCCTTTCTGAACGGAAAGCTCGAGGAAGAAATATTCGTTCAACCGCCAGAAGGGTGCATCCTCACGGAAGGAACGGCTACGTCTACCGTTTTCAAGCTTAACCGTAGCCTGTATGGACTTAAACAAGCACCAAGGTGCTGGAACTCTTGCTTTCAAGAGATCCTATTGGATATGACCTTCAAACAGTCCGAAGCTGATTGCTGCTTAAATTCAAGAGAAGTAAACGGAAAGAATCTACTGATCACGTTGTACGTCGATGACCGATTAGTAGATGAGTTGAGCCACTGATGAAGACACAGCTAACGCCTTCTTAGAAGATTTGAAGAAGAAACTGCGCATAACGACGAAACCAGCGACATATTATCTTGGTCTTCAAATCCATCGAGGAAAGGATGGCACCATCTTCATCAACCAAGAGGCATACGCGAAAAAGGTATTAGACCGCTTTCAAATGAGTGACTGCAATCCCGTTTCTACACCGATTGAGAGAGAGACTCTTCAAGAAGGGAAAGAAGAAACGGAAGATTCCTGTTTCCCATATAGAGAAGCTGTCGGTGCTCTGGCATACTTAATGGTTGGTACTCGGCCTGACATTGCTTATGCCATCGGAGTTGTCTCAAGAAAGTTGGAGAAACCTGCAAAGACAGATTGGCTCAAGGTAAAACGTATCTTGCGCTACATCAAAGGTACCATTTCGCATGGGATCTCCTATAAGGCTGGTCTCAAACCTGGAATCCTAGAAGGATTTAGCGACGCCGACCACGGAGGTGATCCAGAAACTGGACGTTCTACGACAGGAGTGATCTGCCGCTATTCTGGAGGCACAGTTTCATGGATCAGCCAGCGACAAACATCGGTCGCTATCTCCACTACAGAAGCCGAAATTGTGGCAGCCAGTGATGCCGGCAGAGAACTAATGTGGCTTGCTAGAATATACCAGGCATTGACTACAATTGCGGGCGTACCGGTCCTGCATGTGGACAATGAAGCTGCTGTTCGTCTTGCTCACAATCCCGAGTTTCACAAGAGAACGAAGCAAATCCGGCTCAGACATTTCTACGTCAGAGAATTGGTAACTGAAGGTATCTGCAACGTTGTAAGGATCGGAACAAAGGATCAAGTTGCAGACATCCTCACCAAAGCACTACCTCGTCCGTCATATGCAGTTTCTACGCCAGGCGCTAGGATTGTGTACTATGTAAATGTTTAGGGAAAGTGTTGGAGTTAATACATATAGAAACTCATTAACAAAAAAAAAATAAACATAGACATAGTGACAATAAGTGTCTTGACTTATGAAAAAAAATAAATCGGACAGTTCGTGAAGTAAAAATAAAATAGAAAAAACTGTGATTTCGATAAAATTCTAAAAACATCTGCGTAATAAATTCTACATTATAAAAGTGTGTTAGTATATTATTTCGTAACTGCCTGCGCTCTGCAATTTAAAGATCTCTGTAAGACCGAGAAAGACTTTGGTAAGATCTTTAAATCATATCACTGAAGTTGTATACATTGTAACACAAACTAAAGATCTTATTGCGTTAAATATTGCGTCGTATAAGAACACTATTCCTTTAGGGGAAGAGCGCGGTCATTATAATATCTAATCAAATATCCTATTTAAATATAGAAGAAGGTTGAGAGCCAACACCTGTTTGGGACCCTAAAATTTATAACACAAAATTAATAAACACACATAAACATCTAAATGGTATAAGTACATTCTTCATAGAATAAATCAAAAAGGTGACGGTAAACCGCGTTGACTATGGCACTGTCAAAAACCACAAAAAACTGTCCCGCAACCAAATAATCTAAAAAAAAAAGTTCCAATCGGTAACAAACGAATATTTCTTTAGAGCCGTAATTAACGTGACATTCTGTTATAGAAATACCACGAGTACAACGTTGAGGTGGTTCGCAAAGATGGGCTGCTTCTTGTACGCGAGCTGGCGGCGGAGGTGAAGAACCATATGGACTTCAAGATAAACGCCGTCATGGTAAGTCTATATATCGCTGGCGACAGTAAATGTAAGATCCCTCTTCAACTCATTGCTCTTGGTTTTCCTCCCAAAGACAGCATTGTATTAACTGATGTTAACGCTTTCAGTCCCGAGTCTATTAAAGCTTCATCGAACGCAGAACAGGTGGGCTAGCCAGAACCCAAGGGTTCGAGGCCCTCCACAATGGGTAGGGCCGCGCATTTGCTCATACTCCAAAGACAGTATTCACATTATAAGAATGTTTGGTTGTATTACACATAAATCCGTTATAAGTCGACTTAGAAATCAACAACTTTAACTGTGGAACGAGCTTTTGGTATCACCGGTGTAAAAGGAAACTGTTCTTTGTTTTTTTCTGATGACTGAGGTAACTGCTCTTTTTTAAGGGCTTCACTCTCCATACCTGGTGCAGATGTTCACGAGGCCGCTGGGAACTGCCTCACTTAAAAAAAACTACAGACAATTCCCGCAAGTCTTACCTTATAAGACATAGCTCATGGTTCTGTTCAGTAAGATACACATTATTTCGTACGTACGTACAAATGTATATTTAATGTGTACTATTAGATATGTTCACCCACTTTTATAAGAAGTGGCAAATCTAAGGGTGTTGCAAATGGTCTAAGGGTGGCGGTTATCGATTAACACCAGGTGTACCGCCAGCTCTTTTGCCACTTTCTTTAATAAAAAAAATATTAGTAATAAAAGTAAAATTGTAAACCAAGAAACCACACAAATAAAAGGCAAACTTCCAATCAATCAATAAAAACCCTTGTACGACACTCTACAGGGCATAGGTCACATCTCCATATAGGAGCCTATGAAAATAAATCCGCTTCTTTATTGAGAGACTTCGCGAACTTTATATGCTTTTGAATATTTTCCTTTTCGACACGACAACCGAAAATAAACGGCGAAATTACTTGTAACTGCAATGAAGTCTTAAAAAACTGCTAGCTTTTTAATAAAACTAACATTTTAGAGACTTTTTTTTAAAGGAAAAAATTTAACTATAAAGTTGTTCTGATTAATGATATTTTACTTAATATAGGTACGTTGATCAAAATATTTAAGTTTCTAGATACCTACTTCATGTATCTAGAAACTTAAATATTGTAGTCATAGTAATGAATTTATGTTTTAAATGACCAAATTTTCTAATTTTATTTTCAATACATATCAATACCCTATGTACAAAGAAGAGCTTTTCCCAGCAGTGGGAAATATGTTACTTTACTTTTACAAAGCCAAATCCGCTTATTTGATAAAGAGATGGGAATAGCTTATGTCCGAAAAACTGGCCAAGTGCGAGTAAGACTGAGGGGTTCCGTGTTTTTATCTATCGAAACAGCAAAAAAAAATCATGTCTGTCATATGGGAGCCCCACTTAAATATTATTTTATTCTGTTTTTATTAATGTAACATCATCTGTGAAAATTTCAACTGTCTAACTATCACGGTTCCTGAGATACAGCCTGGTGACAGATGGACAGACAGCGTCTTAGTCATAGGGTCCAGTTTTATCCTTTGGGTACGGAACCTAAAAAATGCAAACTAAATACACTCACGTCATAAATCCACTTTTAACATGGGAGCACGGTGATCGCAGTTCGCAGACGGGCAATGTCTGAGATGCAATGATACGGTACTGCGCCAATCCGTTCGGAGATAGGTCATTGCCCTACGGTAAACTACTCACAATCACACAAGTATATTATGTACAAGTTATCTGCACTATATTAGAAAGATATGTTATGTTTTAAATTTGTAGTTTACAATATAAAGAAGACGCCATTAATAATGGTCAAACAATCTTGTTTACTGCTAATCGACACCTTATAGTATTACAAAGAAAAAGTGTCAATTTTGTTATTTTGCGTATCTGGAGAGTAATCTCCGAACTCACTGTATCTTCTTTACTAGTTATTATTGAAGAAATATTAGTAACTTGTAGATCATAAAAATATCACATAGCCGATAGATACATAGTAATGTAAATAAATCTTCGCTAGCTGATATGTGGTAAATTAATTCTATTGGCGTCGGTAAGCCACCTTATATAAATAGTGGGCCTTCTGCTTCTTCCGAGGATATCGACCTTAATTTTAGCCCTGTTTCTAAGCTACTATCTCCACTCAATCCAGTTTTTAATTTCTCTCTCGATGGTGAGAACTAAAAAATTTGGGTACGGAACCCTATAAAGGAAGCCCTTTTCAAGTTTCGTTTCACATAGCGACTAGAAATTACAATAACTTTTTCTAGCTGTACGACGCGACAAGTATTTGTTATTCAAGACAACTGTTGAGGTTAGAACGATATTGATAGTATTTTAGACCGCTCTAACAAATTCCTCTCCTCGCTCGTCCTCACGACACTTGATGGACGTTTGTCGTATATATAATTAATTTTAGTTCAATATTACTGAGAACAAATAGCCTACTCTATGCACTTAAGTAGAATAATCTTTTTTTTTATGCGAAAAGTTGCCAAACGAGCAGATGGGTCACCTGATGTTATGTGAATACCGACGCCCATAAACATCTGCTACACCCGAAGGTTACAGATGCGTTGACAACCTTTTGAAAATTGGGAATACCTCACTCACCAGACGAAACGCGAAAGTATTTGTCATACATCCACTTTACGCTGGTCTTCTGTGAGGTCGTGGCACTTACCCGGACGGGCCTGCCAATTCGTGCAACAGCCGAGGCTGCTGCGTGGCCCTACCGCCGTTAAAAATCATTGGAAATTCATTTGAAATCTCATTAGCAAAAAGTAAATTACGGGTAAAAAGACATGAAAAAGTTTTATAACATTATGTGTTTCAAGATTATTGTATTTAGTATAATTTGCCCTTTGAATTTCAAGAACATAATTGACGCCATGACATTATAACATTGTACGAATATGATGGCGCCATCACATTAAGAGATATATTAAAGGCTTATGCATAATTTATAGTTGGCAGTTATATATTAAGTGTTCAATGTGGAAAAGTCTAAAAAATTGCCGCTTGAACGAGAAACTCTATTACCATATTCCGCAATGACCGACTAAAGAGCCATTTCCAAGTGCACCATCCCGTATCTCCTGTGGTCCTCATATTGGAAATTCTCCTGAATCTTAAACTGCGTCGATTTTTAGCCGCGTAAACTTTCAATTCGATGCAAAGTTGATTTTTCTTAATATAACTCCGTGAGTACATTCAGAAATTTTAAATGGTAAATATTTCTTTGGTCATATAAAGTAATTCATTGCATTATCATACCCATTGGCTATATGGATGTCATTTATTTAACTACTTCATGATTTAAGGTTTTTGTAAAAAAAACTTGACTTCTAATGAATTTTTTGACAAGAATCTTTATTATATTCATATGAAACAACTTCGGACCCTTATATATGTATTGTAACTGTATCGACTACTCCAAAGTATTCGATTGTATGTAGAGATAGGTGTACCTGAACATCTTACCTACCTTATAAAGAAACTGTACCTTGATGGCTCAAGTTTCGTGAAATTGGAAAACCAGAAATCTGAGTCTTTCCACTCAGAACGAGGCGGTCGCCGGGGCTGCATTTTCAACAAAACTATTTAATTTGTACGGAAAATATAACGGTGGTCGAAAGATTTGAAACTTGAGGTATGCAGATGATACGACTGTAGTTGCATCGAGTGAAGTGGAAGCGGATGGCGGCACTTCTAAAGAGCCTTAAGTAGGTCATAACGGTGGTAGACCTAGCATAAATACGGCAGTCTCCGTTGCACTCAATGGATAAGATACAGTTAGCCTATTTATGTACCTTGGGTCACTGGTATCTAACGATGGCAGCTGCACTGATGAAATTCGTCGTAGAGCAGGTATGGCCAAAAGTGCTATGACTAGGCACGGCAGGATATGGAAGAGCCGTAGTATTCGTCGTGCAACTACGAGTAAGGTGCTCTTCATACGAGCATTGGTCTTCGCTATTTTCATCTACGGTGCTGAAACATGGAGCATAAGAAGCCGCGATAGCTGTAAGATCGATGCTTTCGAAATGTGATGTAGGCGTAGGATGCACAGTATCGAGAAGCAGATCATTATAGACCGGAACGGCAGACATGCTCAAGGCAGGGCACCGACAAGGTAGGCTGACACAGTAAAGAACGCGGTGGGCGGTTGGTATACAATTCGCAGTTCACACCGCCTACGACCCCCCAGAATTGAGGGGCCGAGTAAGAAGAAGATATGTATTGCTCTCCCGGGGGAGTGTAAGCTTTCGTATAATTAAAGACTAATACTAATATAATAACTAATATAATATATGTATTATAAATCTATAATATATGACTGATTGTTCACGTTCACACGTCATTGTCAAACATATTAGTGATATTATATGTTGGTCAACAGTTACACGGATGGCTACTGATAGTCTATAACGAAATTTTAATTTTCTTTTTTTAATAAATAAACAAAAAATATGTCAATTGTTTTTTTGCTTATGAGTAGGAATATTGCGAACATTAAAGTACAATGTTACTTTAAGAGTTTTTGCCCGCCTGGTATGTTCTATTAAAGCGAAGTTCGTGAAGCGTTAAGTATTACGGTAAAACATCTGATATTCAAGCAACTGAGGGCGAACGTCAGGATTTATGTACGAGCAACAATGTTTTGAGTGTGAAAGCCAAGTTCGAGCACGAGCCAGGTAATTATTCGATCCGGGGAAGTAGTCCCGAATGCCATTTGCGGTTTTCGTTCGAACTCCGAACATTTCGCTTTCCATAAAAGTTCTTTTGTGCCGATCCGCCCCCCGCCCCTCTAATGAAGGCCTACAGGATTCAATTAACCGGAGAGATTGGAATGTTTCGTGATTTGTACACGAATACGCAATCCCCTCAGCGCGCCTCAATTCAACGATTCGCGTTCTAACAAATTATTTGAATCGAAACACTGAAGGCCGTTCAACGTCTTAACCTGCAATCACTCATGTTCATTCGTCAAGAAGATAACTAA